GGTCAGGGGCCACACCCCACCCCTGTTCTCTCCTCTAGGGGCTTCCCCAGAGTAACAGAGCAGTTCTGTTTCTGAGTCCACAAACTGGCAGCCTTCTGGTCAAATGTGGCCAATAAAAAGGCTTGGTTCTTTCAGTATAGTGCTCTAATTTTTTTTTTTTTTTTTGAGATGGAGTCTCTCTTTGTCGCCCAGGTTGGAGTGCAATGGTGCGATCTTGGCTCACTGCAACCTCCGCCTCCCAGGTTTGAGCGATTCTTGTGTCTCAGCCTCCTGAGTAATTGGGACTACAGGCACATGCCACCACGCCTGGCTAATTTTTGTATTTTTAGTAGAGATAGGGTTTCACCATGCTGGACAGGCTGGTCTCGAACTCCTGACCTCGTGATCTGCCCACCTCAGCCTCCCAAAATGTTAGGATTACAGGCATGAACCACCGGACCCAACTGTTTTATTTTTTCAATTATCAACTTTTCAAAGAGAGGTTTATCTAATTTATCCTCCCCCCCCTTCCTTCCTTTCTCCCTCCCTTCCTTCCATCTATCCACTTACTTTAACATGTATACAGCATTTACTATGTCCCCAGCATCCTTCTTAGAGCTTTACAAATATTAACCCCTTTAATATCTATAATAAATATCCAAATATATGCCTTCTCCCAAAAAATAGACTCTGGGCCCACAGTCCCAGGTGGCAGCATTACCGTCCAGCAGAGTTGCTGTGGTCCTTTTTGGCCAAGGTCACATGGACATGTGTGCAATTAGCATGGCTGGGGTGCAGACCAATGGCAGGGACATTGGTTGTAAATTGCCAGGCATCCTCTTCTACTTTTCTTATGCCAGTGAGCTTTGGTGGCCCCTGAAAGCATCTGAGTTAGACCCTCTGGGATGTCTGTGAGATGTCTCTTGGACAGAGGGGTGTGCCAGGGGAGGAAGTAATGAATTATTCTGGGAACAGGTAGAGGGATCACTTTGAAATGAGGCCCAAGCTGGGATCTGAAGGATGCCTGGGAAAGGAATTCTGCAGGGGATATGACCATGGAGTGAGAGTGTGCACGGGAGGCTGGGTCCCTGAGCAAGAGAGGAGAGTGCAGCAAACAGGGAGAAGTGTGAGTGAGCCTGGACCTTTAGGCAGGGCCAGACCATGGGGGTGGGCAGTGGTGGTGGGGGAGGAACACTGAGAGCCTCACAGCCAAGCAGTGCCAAGGCCCAGATTTGAGTCTTAGAGATCTCACTGTGGGGCAGGGTAGAGAATCTTTGTGGCATGTGTAGGAGACTGAAGGCAGGTTCAGTAATGGGGAGTTGAGGAGCTTACAGAACTCATTTCCAGTTACCTGGAGACCCTGTCTCCATCCTGAGGCTCCTGCTCTGCAGGACTCTGGTGTCAGGCAGATTTCAGCTCATATCTGGCCTGGCTTCTGTGGTGGATTAGATAGTCATTCACCTCTCCTCTCATCCCACTGGAGAGTGGAGAGGAGGATTTACTTGCTCCATCCATGACTCGGCCATGGAACTTGCTCTGGCTTATGGTGTGTTTGCAGATGAGATGCCCCGAAATTTGAAATGCACATGTGTTTCTGGGCTTGCTCTCTTACATCCCTGCCATTTCCCAGAGAAGAACATGCCTGGGTGTCCCTACTGGTCCCAGGAGAGCATGGGAGACACTGGAAGCAGTGCTGAACCATCCCAGCAGAGCCCATACTAAATGAGTTGCCTGCAGAAGAATGAGCTAAATAAATGTTTACTGCCATATGCTGGGAGATATTGTGGATGTTTGTTACGCAGCACTACTGTGCCCCTTCTTAGCTGATACAGCTGCTAATATCTGGGTGACTCAGGCAGGGCTGGCTTCCTCCACGGAGATCTGAGAAGGAAGGCAGAACTTGCTAGAGCTCGTGGAGAGCCTGGAGTGAGCCTCAGGAGAGGTCTGAGTATTTCTTCTACCTACATTTTCTGTCCTGCTCTGGAAGTAGGGCAGCTCTAGAAGGACTAGAAGGATTACAAGGCACGGGTGGGATGCTGAAGCTGTGAAGAGACAATTTCTTCCTAGCGTTGCTGGTAGGAGTGTGAACAGGCTGTGCTTCTCTGGAGGGCTGTTTGGCAGCATGTATACTCCACATCCAGAAAGATACTTGCAGGTATGCTGATGTTAAACACATGTGCACACACACATGCACACGCGCACACACACATGTACACACAACCAAAAACCGCACTTGCACAAGGAAACATTGTCAGATGATCAGCATATCACTGTTTAAACAGCTGAAAATCAGAAATGACTCAAATGTCTGTGGCTAGGAATACAGCTAAACTGTAGGGTACCTACCACTACCAATACCACGGAACACCCCCCCCACCCCACCCCCGTGGCTAAAAATAATGAGGGAGATCTTTATGTGGTAGCTTGGTTGAAACTTGGAGACATACTGTTGAGTTTGGTTCCTTAGGGGCAGTATAACTTTTATGTAAAAAAACAAAACAAATAAAACCGAACCAAACACCATACAGCAAACCTAGGGTGACAGTGGCTGCATGGAGGCATTTAGCACAGTTCATGCTAAACTGCTAGGGAAAAAAAATGGTGGCGGGGAGGGGGGATTGTCAAATGAACTCTACCTTTCTCTGTAATGTTTCCATTTTAAAAAGAGATTGTATGTCTAGTATCGCTTTTGTCTTTAAAAATTAATTTCAAGATAAAGATATAAAGAACAGATCTGGACTTTAGAGACAAGTGAATCTGGCTGGAGCCCCAGCTACGCTGCTTGTTCGAGTTGTTAATCTGGGAGTTGTTAACCGCTTGTGGGGGTGCTAATCTCTACCTGGAACGGCTGGCTGCAAAAGAGACAAAATGGTGCCTGTAGAAGGGCTGACATCATGTCTGGATACGGGAAGGGGCTCGTAAAAGTCAGTGGAAAGTGACAGACAGATCACTTTCTGGGGGCCACGTGGCCCAGACTGTATGTCGCTTTGGGTCCCTATTTCCTTGGGAGTCCTGCCAGGGCCACTGGGTGCCTGAGAACTTTGGCAATGCCCCAAATGGCCCATGGAGTGAGGGTTGAGGCCAGGTGGCATCTCAGGACGTGAGAAGCACTTTGTGCTCTGTGACCTTGAATGAGGTCAGGGACATGACACTAAATTCTGCAAAGACCTCCAAAATACCTAGCTGTGAGCCCCCACGGTCTACTGGCAGTTGGGAAGGGTGTTCCTTCCATTCACCCTGCAGGCTTGAGGCTCCTGAATTCTCACTGGATGCTTGGAATTCCGGTGGGAAATGTGTGTCCCCAGCGATGCTTTCCTGCTTGTGTGACATGGGGAGAGCCACCTGAACTCCTCGAGCTCCATTCCCTCATCTGGACAACAAGGATGATGAACTCTCCCTCCACAGCCGTCCTGAAGGTCACACCAAGCCACGGTGAACTTCAGGGTGCTTTGCTGTGGCTCAGTCACCTGGAGTAGAATGGGATCCCAAACCACCCCTCAATCTGGCTACTGAGCAACACCCCAGCACCCACCTTGCATCTAAACTGGGTTTAAACCCCACCTGACTTGGGTACTCAGGAGCCTTTTCCTCTAGAACCTTGCAGCTGACTGCTGGATCCACTTCCCCTCACACTGGTGCACGGAGCCTCCCTCCCGGCTGCAGCCAGCCTGCTCTCCACACAGCTCACTCCTTCCCTCATTCCCTTTTACATTTAGGTGCATGCCCATCTTTCAGGTGGGCACAAGCTTTGATTTCTTTGGGTTCCCAAATGTAGCTTGAGGTCTGCAGTGAGCAAAGATGCTCATAGAATATTCTTGTCCACCCCCACGATCTGCCCCCGATCCTCCCCCTGATCTATTTTCTCTGCTGGAGACTGAATGACTTTAGCCCCTTCTGCTGAAAACCTTTCAAAGGCTTCCCGTGACTCGCGGGAGGAGACACAATTCCTAATGTGGCCGCCAAGCCTCCAGCCTGCCCATGGAGCCTGTTCGGGCCTCACACCCCGAGTCTTGGTAGCTTCCCAAAAACTCTCTGGTCTCCTTCCCCCTCTGCAACCTCATTCCCCTTTGCCTAGTTAGCGATCCTGGTTTTTGCTTCTCTGAGTCCCACTGGTGGAATCTGAGCCTGCTAGCACAGGATTCTGGGCATTGTAGTTCCCAGACCCCAGCCTGGCTGCTTGCCTATAAAGAGCCCTGATATTCATCACACCCGGGGCTGTCACTCAGGGGTCAGCAGTTCAGTTCAGGACTGTTCAGCATCATCTGCAACCCAGTTTACTACCTTCACCTTTCCCAAGTCTTCCAGCTTTGTCTTTTCTCCCCTAAATATGTATAAAATCTCGTTTTGAGCAGAGCAGTCCCCGTAAGCTTTGATTTACACACAATCTCTTCTCTGCTTCTTGTGAAATTTGTCAAGGTGTGTCTTAGTGGGTTCTTCCGAAGGGCTGGAAACTCAGAATTCCTCAACCTCCAGCCTCCTCCCTTCCATGCCAGGGAGCACGGCTGACCCTGCGGTGATTGAACGTCATCCTCAACTCCGGCCTGCTCCCTTCCTTCCTCCCCCAAACCCTTCTGTCGGTAGCTCTGGGATTCATTCCTTGCACAGAATCCGTGCATTTTCTCCTGACCTGGTTTTCACTCGCGCCTCATCCACCCACTCTCTATTGTGGGCTTGTTTGATTGGCAGGTTTTCCATTTTAAAGATGCCTCTTTCTCCCACAGAAAAAAGGTGTCTCTGCATCTGACAATTTCAGAACTATTCCATTCCAGGAACACTTAACAAGCTCCTCCCATCTACCTGGCTCTCCGGGTCCTTCTGACCAGCCCTTCCCTCACGTCTGGTGTGGCCCTTTAAGATGAAACTAGCTTCTAAAAAATGTCTTTACTTTTCAAGGCAATTTTTAATTTGGCCTTTACCCCAGCATTTTAACATGACTCTTTTTCTAAATCAAGACACCGTATGATGAAGTTTGGGAAGCATTTCCTCACCAGGAAGTTAAAAAATAAAAGCGTGAGGCAGCATCTGTTTCGATAGTTTTATTGGAACATGATGGTAACACAAACATGGATTTGGGGTCCCACCACAGATGTTCCTCCTCCAGGCAACATGCACCCCACTTCTGCAGCCAGCAGAGGCCCCAGGAGGCCTGCAGAAGGCGGGGGCAGCCCAGAGACAGACACGGAGGCGTCCTCTGCTGTGGTGGGTGGTGCGTGGGCACCTCGGGCCAGAGTTGTGACCAGCTGAGTCTGTGATAAGCCAGACTGGTTTGTTTTCACTCGAGGTCATGTGGCCATGACTGAGAGACCCGCCTGCCTCGACTCCTGGGAAACCTTCCAAGGAGGTGGTTCCGGGGATTCCAGAAGGAATTCAGCCAAGATACTAAGGACCTCTGGGGGTCACCAGGGCAAATCATGCCTTTAGGTTTGTTGGCAGATACACTGCTGAGAGCATCTGTTTTGTCCACCCTCTGCGCGGTCTCTTTCCTCTGCTCATTCATCCAACACGTCTTTATTAAGCTCCTACCATGTAACAAACTTTCCTCTAGGGGCTAGACAGACAGTGGTCACTGGAAATAGCCAGGACCCACGGCCTCGTGAGGAGGAGAGACGGACAACATTCAAAGAGTCACACAAACAGCCGTGACATCACAGCTGTGCCAGTGCCTTCCAAGGAGAGCTCTGAGGGCTGTGGCAGGGGACCTGGCCTGGTGCGGAGGGTCAATGAGGGCTTCCTGAAGGAAGTGACAGTTCAGAGCACTGAAATGGACAGAAGGAGCATTTAGTCACAGAAACAGCTTTGAACATGGAATGGGCAGAGCAAGTTAATCATACCAAAAGGAAAAGCACAGCAGGTCCTGAGTGGAGTGATGGAGGAGGCCTGGTACAGGGGGAGGCTGCAGAGGGCCCAGCAGGGTCCCAGCACATAGGGCCTGAGGGCCAGGTTGAAGATGGTTTTATCCACCCGCGACGCATGACCTGGGTTGCTCTGGCATGGCCTGCTCTGGCTGTCAGGTGGAGGGTGGACTGCGTGGGGGTGGAAGTGCCGAGGTGTTCCAGCTGTCCTGATGGAGACGATGGTGGCCGGATGGAGTGACACAGGGTAGATGGGAAGCAGCCAGCAGACGGTGGAGCCAGGACTCCATAAGGACTGAGGCAAAAGGAGGTGGCAAGGTGGACCCTCACCCTGTGAAGGCGTAGGTGTGAGAAGGGGAGCTGGGAAGCAGGGCGGGTGCAGGGGGAAGGTAGGCTGGCAGCTGCAGACACGCCGAGGGACAGCGCCCCTGAATCTCCCAGGTGGAGGCGTTGCGGAGGCGGAGGCGGCAGCGGGTCTCAAGCTCCCGGAAGGAGCCAAGCCTGCAGTCATAAATCTGTGAGCGATTTCATAACCGAACCTCGTGCCTTGTAACTGGAGTTGTGGGTGCAGATGAGGTCACAGAGGGAGAGATGTTGAGTGAGAAGAGAGGACTCGGGACTGAGCCTGGAGAACAGCCACATCTGATGGCAGGAAGAGGACAATGAGTTGCAAAAGGGACAGAAAGGAGGGGTCAAGGATGTCAGGGAGGGGGAAGACCACAGGGCATCTTGGAAACCAAGGAACCCTGAGTGTTGGGGTCAGCCAGGAGATGCCACTGAGAAGCCCTGGTGGCAGAAGGCCCTTCACAGCCCCCTCTCTCTGGGGCTGGCACTACCCTATCTCTTTGAGTCTCTTTATGGATCCTGTAAATAGGAACAGGGAGCCTACCCTCTTGGACAGGGGACCCAAAAGCTGTTTAGAGGGGTTAGATGATATGCCCAAGGGCATGCAGCCAGCAGACAGTGCTGGGGCCCAAATCCCCTACTCATAACCATTATAGTCCCTCAGCCTCCACCCCTCCCTCCATGGTGCCTGGCTGCAGACACTCTCCCCAGCAAGTCCACCACACACCGCCTCTTGATGACAAGCACCAGAGAGGGTCATACTGTAGCAGGAAGGGACCCCCCAGAGCCTGGGGCTCTAAGCCTTGCTAGGAGGAAGGTGGCTGAGTCAAGAAAACCTTTGCCCTCTGTCCTGAGAGGCGGGGTAGTGCAGTGTCAGGAGTATGGGCTTGAGGGCTGGCCCATCCTCTCATTCATTCACCCATTCAACAAATATTTTGGCATGCCTCCTCTGTGCCAGGCACACTTTCTGGGTGCTGAGTGGCCTTGGACAGTTCCCACACTTCTCTGAGTCTGTTTCCACCTCTGTAAAGTCAGGGTGGTGGTGATTCTTGCCGTAAACTCATGTTGCTGCTATAAGGGTTACGAGAGAGCTCATGCTGGGGAAGCACCTGGTACACAGTAGGTGCTCATTAAGAGCTACTTCCTTCCTTTTTCTGTCTTTTCCTTTCCTTTCCTTCATCCTGCAGAACCCATGAAGGAGTGAGAGGCCAGTGCTTTCTTGCAATACCCTCTGCCTTGCTCAGAGGACATGCATGTTCCTACATGTAGGCACCCATGCATACACATGTGCACGCATCCCTGCCTGTCCCACCGTCTCTGCTTGTGACTCCCAGGGCCAGCACCAATGTGAGCTTGGGACCTATGGGAATTGGCCCACTCAGGCCCAGAGGAGTCTTGCATGCCCGTCTGGGAATACTGAGTACAGAATAGGCTGCTCTGCCCTAGGCCTGCACACCCCACAATCAGCTGTGTGCTCTGGGAGCCCCCAGACTCAGTCCAGGGTGAGTCATTGGGGCTTTGGAGACTGGGTCCTTAGGAGCTCCAGGAGTCACATCTCGGGGACCAGGAGCAGTATCTTCAGTGTCCTGGGGCCAGGTCTAGACAGCCTGGGAAGGCGGCGTCCGCATCGCTTTTTGGGGAGGTCTCTTCTGTGGCTCCTCAGAGAGTGGCTCCCCCGGCGGCTCCTCCAAGGGGCCTCCCATATGTCTCCAAAGGAACCTGAGCCCCCACAGGCTCTTGTAGCAGCTCAGGAGGTTGCTGGAGCATGAAGTACGGGACAGTGCTGGCTTCCTGAGGAGACACAAGCACACACCAGGCTGAGGTGGCCACAGAGCAAGGTGGGGGCAGCCCACGTTTAGCCTCACGATTTTGCATCTACTAAGCCAGGCCCTGGGAATGGTGGGGTAGGGTGGGGAGGGGAGGGGAGGGGAGAGGGACTTCCCTTTGACACCCAGAGCAGCCCACAGGCAACAAGGGCTTCTTCCCTCAACCCACAAGAAGGAGCATTCAAGAGACTTGCTTTCAAATCCCAACTCTGCTTCTAAGATGCTGCGTGCCTGTGGTCAAGTTACTTAGTTTTTCTGGACTTCAAACGAAGATAAAAATATCCAATTCAGGACTTTTTTTTTTTTTTTTTTTTTAGACAGGGTCTTGCTCTGTTGCCAGGCTGGAGGGCAGTGGCATGACCATAGTTCACTGCAACCTCTAACTCCTAGGCTCAAGGGATCCTCCCACTTCAGTCTCCCAATTAGCTGGGACTACAGGTGCGCACCACTGTGCCTGGCTAATTTTTTTTAAATTTCCTTTTTTAAATATAGAGGCAGGTTGTCACTCTGTGGCCTGGGCTGGTCTTGAATTCCTGGACTCAAGCGATCCTCCTGCCTCAGACTCCCAAAGTGCTGGGATAACAGGCATGAGCCACCACTGCCCCCGGCCCTCACTTTTTCTACTCCTGAAAGAATTCAGTGTTACAGAATACATATAAAAGTGAGCACACATAGGCTGTCTGGTAGCAGGCGTCCCGTCAAAGTGCGCCATTTCCGAGTCTTAGTGAGATGATTCCTGAACATCTACAGCATGCCATGATGGGGGAAGAAGTTTGGGAGAAGTCTGAGTTACTCCTGGCATTCAAATCAGCTGTGAACACCTCGGCCACCAAGGGAATCAAGTGTACCGCTCCCTCTCCCTTCCACATAAAGGAAGAGAAGGGAACCCTCATGCCTTTAGTGTCCACCTGACGATAGCTGTGGGTTTGAAGGCCTGACTTTGTAAGGCTTTGTGAACAAGGACAGAGCTGACATCTGCACTTACTTCAATAAGAGGGCATGTGCCAGCCGAGCCATTGCAGGAGGCCTCGGCACGGTCAGGCCTGTAGATTGGTCACCCCCATCCTCCCTGAACACCTCACCTGCACCTGGGCCTCAGGGTCATCCCTCTGGCATTTCAGAGCCTGTGACCGTCCTTTATCATGTTAGCAGTGTACATATTTGACCATGCAGTCAGGTATTTGCCCTTGCATTAACATTCCAGACGCAGCCTTTGGCAACTCTCATTGCACTCAGTGAAATTATCCAAGAAAAGGGAGCGCTAGGCTAGGAAATAACTACCTCCCTTCTTCTAAGGGGCCTAAAAATCACTTAAAATAATGCTATTTTGGAAATGCCACATGTTCATAGTAACAAATTCAGACCATAGGGATTAACTAAAAAGAAAACAAGTCTTCTATTCAGTCATATCTCTTTGTTACATGTCAATTTAATCATTAAATATTTTTAAATGAAATGCATCAAGCATCCAAAGAGACTGTATATAAAACACACATGCATGGCTTAAGGAATACTGAAAAGAATACCAGTGGAACCACCTGCCAGATCAGGAAACTGAGCTTTACCAGCCCCTGATTTATTTCAGCAAATATTTCTGTAACCCTAAACAATCTATTGTGTTATTCTGCCTGTATTTCACTGTGTATATCTGAAATCATGTTTTATGATCTTTTCTCTGTAGCTAACTTTTTGCTATTGTTTAACGTTATATTTTTGAGAGGTATAGCTGTAGCTCATTTTCATGGTTGTAAAGTATTTTAGGGTCATGGGCAGTGGCTCATGCCGGTAATCCTGGCACTTGGGGAGGCCAAGGCAGGCAGATCGCTTGAGCTCAGGAGTTCAAGACTAGCCCGGGGAACATGACGAAACCCTGTCTCTATTAAAAAAAATACAAAAATTAGCCGGGCATGGTGGCATGCACCTGTAGTCCCAGCTACTTGGGAGGCTGAAGCAGGAGGATTGCTTGAACCTGGGAGGCTGAGGTTCAAGGCCACTGCATAATCTCAAAAAAAAAGTATACTCCAGGAACACTGCCTGTGGGGTAGGTAGTCCTGCTTCACAAGGAGCAGTAAAAAGAAAAAAGGCAGCATAAGTTGATAACTGTTTGCATCCGTATGATGGGTTCAGGGAGCCTTACTATGTATGTGTTTACAACGTGACGTAATTTTAAAAAAGTATTTCATTGTATGAATAGACTTCAATTTATTTCTGCATTTACCTGTTGAAGAACATTGGGATTGTTTCTAGTTTTTAATCCTTACAAGAAATGCTGCTCAAGACTTCACTGAACCTGTCTCCTGGTGCATACGTGTTTGAGTGCTAGCTGAATTCTCTATCCTTTTCCACTGGTCTATTTTCTATTCTTGCAGCATTACAACAAGGAATTAATTGCTATATCTTACTTTTTTCCTTTTTAGAAAAGACTTGGCTATTCCTGAGCCTATTCTCAACTATACAGATTTTAGAATCAGCTTGTCAATTTCTATGCAAACACTGTTTGGATTAATGGGAATTGTTCTGAACATACAGATTAATTTGGCAAAAGCAAACATCTTTATAATATCAAGTCTTTTCCTCCAGAATCTACAAGTCATTTGAATTAATGTTAGGGTATAACATGGTTATTGGACATAAGATCACTATACAAAATTCAGTTGCATATACGGAATCCAATTCTTTATGTATCAGAAATAGTAAGAAAATACAGTCTATAAAAGGATACCACTTACAACAACAACTAAAATCACAAGATACCTAGGTATTCATCTAACAAATGACACACCAGATTTTTATGAAGAAAAGTACATAATCATTGAAAGATATTTATTTAGCTCTTCTTCAATGTCTAATTTTCTGATTGTTCTTATAAATGGTAGTTTTCAAAAGTTGACAATGTACGTTGATTTTATGTCTGGCAATGCTGCTCAACTTTCTTATTTATGACAACAATTTGTAGATACTTTTTGGTTTCTGTATAGAGGATAGTTATTAGCTGTGAATAATAATAGTTTTGTTTTTCCTTCCCTTGTTTTTTAAAAAATTTATTTTTCTTCTCTTACTGGACCGATTGCTGGTAATATGTTGAATAGGAGTGTGATGGCCAGCCCCGCTCCCTATTTTAGAAGTGGTTTAGAGATTTTGTTTGTTTTGTGTTTCAAATCATGAATAAATGCTCAAACTTACTCTTTTTTTTTTTAAGCCTGAATCTCGCTGGAATGCCAGGCTGGAATGCAATGGCACAATCTCAGCTCACTGCAACCTCTGCCTCCCAGGGTCAAGCAATTTTCCTCCCTCAGCCTCCTGAGTAGCTGGGACTAAAGGCACCCACCACCATGCCCAGCTAATTTTTGTATTTTCAGTAGAGATGGGGTTTCACCTTGTTGGCCAGGATAGTCTCAATCTCTTGACCTGATGATCTGCCAGCCTCAGCCTCCCAAAGTGCTGGGATTACAGGCGTGAGCCACCATGCCCTGCCCTAATGTTTTTTTCAACTTCTATTGATATAATATTTACAAAGATTTTTTTCTTCTTTAATTTTTTGATGAGCTGAATTACATTAGTAACATTTCTAATATGAAAGCAACCTATTTCTGTATAAATCTAACTTGGTCGTGAGGAATTATATTTTTTTCTTTTAAAAATATTGCAGGATTATGTTTCCTAATACTTTGAAATTTTTGTAACTATGTTCATGTTTCTGATTACCTTGTAATTTCCTTTTTCATACTTATTTTTGAATCTACGTGATTCTTCTGTTCATAAAATGAATAGGATAATTTCTCTCTTTTTCTCTCCTCTGAGAGTTTGTATAGGACTGCACAGTGATCTCTGTTCTTTGAGTGTCTGGTAGAACTCATTTGCAAAACCAAACACTACTGGTGTTTTATTCATATTACATATTCATTTTTAAAGTATGGAATTCTCATGAATTTGCATGTCATACTAGCACAGAAGCCATGCTAATCTTCTCGGTATGGCTCCAATTTTAGTGCATGTGCTGCCAAAGTGAGCCTGTCATTTTATTTATTTTTAATGGTTATAGGGCCCTTCAGGTTTTCTATTTCTTCCCAAGTCAGTTTTGGCAAGTTCCGTTTGTTTATTCACTTCACCTTAGTTTTTTCTTGTTTGGGGCATAAAATTGATCAGAACATTCTTTCTTGAACTCTACAACATCTGTATTAATATCCCACCTTTATTAGTCATAGTCTTATGTTGTTTATTCTGTTATCTTAGCAAATTTTGCCAGAACTTTCCAAAGCACTAACGTTTGGTTTTGTTGCCCTTCTCCTTATTAAAACTGTCTTCCGTTTCATTAATTTCTTCCTTTGTCTCTACTGCTTTCCTTTCTTTAATTATCTTTGAGTTTATTTTGTTGTTCTTTTTAGCTTCCTAAATTGGCTGTTTAAATCATTAAATTTCAAATTTGCTTTAAAAAATACCAGCCATTAAGGATATATATTTCCTTTTGAGTAGAGTTTTAGTGGTATCCTACAAGCTTTGATGTGCAGTATTTTCAGTGTTGTGTACTTTCAATTGTTTTATAATATCCATAATTATTTTTTCTTTATCTCATGAGCTATTAAAAAACATGTTTACAACTATGTAAGAGTTTTGTTATTATATAATTTTGTTGTAGTCAGAGAATTGTTCTGTGTGAAATATTTAATGCCTTGCAATATGCTGACACATGCTTCTTAGCCTAATACATGGTCACCTTTTTAAATGTTCTATATATGCTTGAAAGGAATATGTAATCTCTATAGAGATAGTGTTCTAAGTATTTTGTGTTTTCCAAAGATTAATTGCTGACTTTTTATATGCTTGGTCTTTAAATTTTGATAGAGGTATATTATGCTTTTTCTGCTGTAATGATTATTTGTCAACTTCTCTTTGTAGTTCTGTCAACTTTACATATTTTTAAAGTGGGGTTATTTGGTACATACAAATTTAGAATTTATCTTTCTG